CTTTCCCCTCGACAGGCACGCTGGTGGCGTGACTTATCCGAGTTCAGTTTCACCACTCAGCCCATCAAGGGTGAAACGAACTGCGTCGCCGATGCCTTGTCCCGCCAACCTGATCACAATCAGGAGCCCATCCATCTTGCTGCCATCTCGATCACCACTGTTGATCAGTCGGTGATCGATGCGTATCGCATTCAGTACCGCCATTGCCCCGATTATGGCGTAATCCACGCGACACTACGGAGTGGCAAGATCGTTATTTCCTACTCCCTCGGGGAGAACGGCCTTGTGTACTGGCATGGCAGATCTAGTCAGCTAGAACCACGTATCTGCGTTTCCTCCACCGGACAGCTCCGCGTCCAGGCTGTAGCAGAGTTCCATGACCAGGCAGCTGCCGGTCATATGGGTTTCTACAAGACGTTGGCTCGTGTTTGCCGCCTATACGTCTGGCCGAAGTCCAAGGACTTTGTCAAAGCTTACATCCAGGAGTGTCCTACCTGCCAGGAGGTGAACAATGCGAACCACCTTCCGTATGGGTTACTTCAGCCCCTACCCATACCTGAGGGTCGTTGGCAGTCCATCTCGATGGATTTTATTGGTCCCCTCCGCCCACCCACTGAGCGCGGTCATGATGCTATCTTGGTCGTCGTCGATCGCTTCATGAAGCGTGCACGTTTTGTCCCGTGCCGCTATCGCATTAGCGCTCGTGAGGTCGCCGACATCGTCTTCGACCGAGTCGTAAGAGATTACGGCTTACCTCACAGCATCATCTCCGGCCGTGACCCGCGCTTTACCAACACATTCTAGCGACGCCTACACGAGGTGTACGGATCTCAACTCCGCTTCTCATCGTCTTACCACCCCTAGACGGATGGTCAGACTGAGATCACTAATAAAACTCTCGGTAATATCCTCTGAAAGTTCGTTACGGATGACCAGCAGTGGGACTTACACTTAGCCCACGCGGAGATTGCGTACAACCACGCTGTTTCGCGAGCCACGGGGATGTCGCCATTCTATTGCGACCTCGGCTACCACCCTCGCGTACCCGCGGATTTCCTACGACCATCGCGGTTGCGCCCAGACATTCGTTGCCCTGCGCTTGACGACTAGATCGCCCACATGGCGACGATTATGAAGCACGCACACGAGAGTTTAGCTGACTCCCAGACTTGCATGGCCGCACGAGCGAACCAATCACGAATGGATCATCCATTCAAAGTCGGTGACGATGTGCTCGTCGACACACGCCACTTACAGCTCGAAGCAGATACACTTCGCAAGTTCAGGCGTCGTTTCTTCGGTCCATGCCGCATCCTTCAAGCCGTCGGTTCTAATACTGCCGCTAGTCCGATCATCTTCCGTGTGAAACTACCTTATTACCTTCGACAGGCTCGCGTACACGATGTTTACCACGTCTCCTTATTGCGTCCTTATCGCAGACCGTCCGAGCGCTTCACCGGACGCCCTTATGAGCGCCCTCCACCTATCATGGTGGACGGTCACGAGGAGTTCGTTGTTTCCGACATCGTATCACGCCGAGTTACCGACGATACCCCTCCACGCATCGAGTACCTTGTGCGTTGGAAGGGCTACCCTGATGAGGAGGCTACTTGGGAGCCCCTCGAGCACTTGCAGCACGCCAGGATGTTGGTGCGTACATATGATCGTGTTCGTCGTGCTGAGACATTTGCTTCGACTCAGGCGACTGACCCTCTTCCTCCTCCTCCAGCTGAGGAGATTGCTGAGGACGCGCCCGCTCCCTCTGAGGTCGTTCCTCAGCCACAGACGGTCACCTCCGAGCGTCCACAGCGCACTCATCGTCGCCCTTTGCGTTACGATGACTGATACTCTTATCCTCTATCTTTCCCCACTGACTCACACCATCAGGTACTCCATCATCATCTCTTCTTCGGGATGTCAGCGTTTTGCGGCTCTGCTTCGACATCGACTCCACTGCTACTTCATCGACGTCATCGACTACTTCGACGATTTCAGCTATTTTGGACGTGACTACTTCACGTCACCACCCTACCCTGTATACTCCCTTGCCCCTGTCGCATGATGGTTCTCACTTAGCTGGGTCTCTTTGAGTTTGGCTCTCCCTTGGTATCGCATAGACATTGGGACCATAGCATTATCTTGGCTTCCTTCCTCCCAGATCTAGTTCCCTCTCCCAGTCGGTGAGTTGTGTGCATGTTTCCCTCACCCACTGCCCTCATCACCCTAGCGTCTGCTATTGCATGCCTCCAGTTCGGCATAGCTTCACCCTATTCCAGGCTCTCTTTTTTATGGTCGACCGTGCATGGTGTCACCCTTTTGTCGAGCATTACCTGCCTTGATGGTCTATCTGTTAGGGTCATTGGTTTTGTTTCGCTACCACTCTCCCACCTTGAGCCTGATGACCTATCCCACCTTCATGTGTGACTGCCCTTAGGAGTTTTGATTCTTAGGCTGCATTCACCCCCTCTGAGACCATCCCACTCTTAGTGGTTCAGCGACATGACATTATCTTGTGACATATTGCTCTTTTCCTTTCAGCACTGAGGCTACTGCCTCCAGGACTTTAGGATTGTATCATACTACATTTCATTTTCTGCTGTTAGCTAGGATATATATACCAGACATTTGCTTTTCTTTTGACATTATGTAGCTTAGGCTGCATCGCATGGACTCCGCATGGAGCTTGCTCCGCATCCTAGATTTCTCAGCTTTCTTTGTTGCAGAGTTCTGCTGCTTTTGCGGATAACGTGTTTATGGCTCTTGCGATCCATTACAGGTCTGAGGATCGTGCTGCGGGCCTTCATCTGCCCTCGCCCACAGCCAGGGCCTATTTGGCTATTTTCCAGTTCGGCCTGTGGGACCAGGTCGTGGCCTGACCCCACAGGCCGTGTGGTTATTCAGTCTTGCCCGCTACCACTGTCGGTACCAGGCCAGTCCAGTCCAGTCCAGTCAGTCCGCTGGGGGTATACCCCAGCTGCAGTTTGTTCTGTGACTCATTCTTCATTTGCACAAATTGGAGTACGTGCGTGTTGAGTCCGCGTTGGAGCTGCGCTGTCCCTTCCAGCTCCATCTCCATCTCCCCCATCCTCATCCCTTCGTCTTGATCCTGACGGACCGCCATCCCGGCGGGTCCGTCAGAGCCGAACACCTCCAGGTTCGTCCCCCGCCAAAAACAATTTGAGGGTCAAAAAATACATTTTTTTTCTGAGTTGTTTTTTGTGAGTTCTCTATGATGTAACCTACACGCCTATAAATTTTGAAGCCATTCTACTAAGGCAAAAAAATATGAAAAATCGTCAAAGATGGGGGTGTCAGAACGTGCTCGCCAACTCACTATTTTGTTTTTTTTTACTATTCACTTTTTGTTTTCACTTTATTTTGGGACAAAAAAAAAATATTATTTTTTGAAAATTTTTTAATGACTTATTGATTATGTAAAATATCTGTAAATTTTCAGGGCATTTGTGAATGCCAAAAAGTAATTAAAAATCGGCAAAGATGGTGGTGTCGAAAAGGTGTTGGCACACTCACTCATTTTAATTCTCTTTTTATTTTTTCTTATTTTTATCATAGTGTTTATTTTCTATATTTGATTTTTAATTCAAATTTGATAAAGAATTTGGATGTAGTGCCCAGGCAAATGTTGTTTAGCTTATTTTTTTTCATAACATTGTTTTTGTTCAGAATTTTTTGAAATCTTTTTTTTTTTTTTTTTTTTTTTTTTTGTCCGCGTTTGTCCCGAACGGCCGAACGCCTTCCAAAGGGATCCCGTACGTTCGGGCGTTCGGCCCGTCCCGAACACTGGTAACCCTATATATATACATATATATATATAAATTTTTTTTTTCGTTTTTTTATTTTTAACTCACGTTTGGCTAACAATTTGAACATGACTCAACGACAAAAGTTGCTTGTATTGTTGTTTTACATTATGTATATGTTTTTCACATTTTTCTGAGTTTTTTTTTTAATATTTCTTTATGTTTGCGTTTGGAAGGTTTGAGGCGCTCGTTCACATTCGGACAAACATTTTTGATTTTGCATATGAACGCGAAGACGATGATACGCAAGTAAGCACAAATATGTATACAAATGTCATTACTGCAGTAAGGGACACAAATTCCTATAAATGGCAAACATAGTCGATATGGCTTAGAAACAAGAAACATTTGTTGTGTTTGTATATGCTTGTAGACATAAAAAATCGTGATGGGCACAAAAAATGTAGATATTCAGACTATAATTCTAATATGTGTCATGGTAATCCCCGCATATGGTAATGAGTGTGAAGTTCATCCTCATCTGATTGTGACCCTGTGCGTGTGAACAAGTGAGAAATTTTGGTTTTCCTCAGTACAACAAGTTTCACATATTAGAACTTTCAAAATTGTGTTACTTTGCGTTTTTTATCTGGTTAAAGAAAGACGAACATTATTCAACAAGTAATGCATGAAGCGATTGTAATCATCACAAATTGTGAAATATTTCCCTATCAAAAGGAGTCGATTGTAAAATGAAAATTTTCACATTGTAATTATTTTCAGGTTAACAAAGCCTAATATTTATGACATGCGCATTAATGAACAAAAAACAAATATGGGAGTCGACCCATATATTTTATCATAATATCATAAAAAAACAATAAAAATTTATGAAGACACATAAACGACATTGTTGAGCGATTGAGGAAACACCTATGAACTACTTATTTTTCATATTTGGAGTTCAAAAGTATGTTTCGACCTTCGATCCCAAGTGGAATGTTTTACGATTGAAAATACGATACCTTATGAATTTCAATTTTGAATGTTGCAAAGCGGATTCGCAAGAAATGTCAAACTTAATCAGCTATACGTCTTTCCATATATTGTCAGATATATGAGTCGTGAACACGTGCGGGTGAAGCAAATGTCAGATTTAAAGGACAAACAATAACTCATTTATCATACCATTTAGTATTGTGCAGAAAGACATCACACAAAGTTTTTATCGACTCTGACGTTGATTCCCGAGTGCATAAAATTAAGGTTTAAGATGCACTAAGACGTATTAAGGAAGGGCACATGTGGGACGGGCAACTCACTAATGTGAGTCGTGTAACCTCTCAAATAACAAAGTTTCGCCATCTGAACCAACAACCATTGTTAACCTATGTTTATCCTAAAATATATTTATAATTTTTATGTTCAATATACATAATATTGCATATATAATCGACGCATGGTAAAACAATGGCGACATAAAATGATGACCAATACGATGATTACAAACAAAGTGTATATGTGTGTATTTGTGTGCATGTGTATTCATATATGTGTGTGTGTATGTGTGTGTGTATGTGTGTGTGTGTGTGTATTTGTGCGTGTGTGTATGTGTGTGTGTGTGTGTAAGTATGTGTGTGTAAGTGTGTATGTGTATGAGTGTGTGTATGTGTGAGTGTGTATTGTTTTGTGCGTGTGTGAGTAAGGGTGTCCGTCAATATTCATACGTTGATAATTGAAATGCACAAGACATTGAGAAGTTTCTTAAAATGATTATCATAAATGCACAAATAAATGAGTGTAAAACAAAAACATTTAACCAATACCCTAAAGAATGAATCTATAATGCAATAAATACATAAACTACCAAACTCAAATTATAATGAATACATAAACGAGCAACAATCTTTCATATAGAAAACCTAATTATCAATCAAACCTCGTTCAGAAAACAGTGCAAAATTATGATATTACATAAAGTGCAAACTTAATTGATAAATACAGTGATCATTCACATTTGCACAGATACTATTTAACCTAAGGAAAAGAAAAAAAAAAATACATACAGGGTTGCCAGGCCGAACGTACGGAGACCCCTAAGTTGACCCACGAACATTTGGGCGTTCAGATCCCCGTACGGGGGTCGA